CTAACAATGATAAGAAACAGTTTCTAAACGTTACCAGTGTCTTCTCCTTTGCTGCTCCCTCTATAGTCCCCAAACTATCCTTAAAATGAATAATCATACTGTTAATATATGAATATGTTTATCTATAAATTATGAGTCCTGGTGTGACAACGTAGGATAAACACTGGACCTCCAGGATGGTTGGAACTGCAAGATGGGAGGTTCAAACTCACCAGGGGATCCTCAGAAATCTTATACAAGGTCACTATGAGTTGGTATTGACTCAATGGCACTTAACGAAAACAAAACATTGCACAAATGAAATTAAACATATAAATAAAATCTAAACTATAACATGTATGTCTTTGCTATGCTGCCATTGTTGTTGCTGTTAAGGGCAGTCGAGTTGGTTCCGACTCATAGTGACCCTGTACAGAGTTTCCAGGGAGCAGCTGGTGAGTTTGAGCAGCCGACCTTGTGGTTTAAACTGACCTTGCAGTCCAGCACATTAATCCACAGTGCCACACCAGAACTTCTTATCTACGATAAAGACACAAAGGTATTCTCTCTGCTGGCCTGATCTTAGTTAACAGAAATACAAAAAGTGGCTTGTACAGTGACCTACTAAAGATTTCCTTTACATGTCTCTAATTTAATCCACCATGGGTAGTAAATCCAAGTTGAAATGCTTCATATGTAGCTCTGAATATACATTTTATATATTTCTTTTTTGTTTTTGTTGATTTGAGATTCCAACACATACTTGGGAGAGAATTTCCATATATCAAAAAGTTTTTAAAATACAAACAAAACTGATTACAGGAACAGTAAAGAATTAACTTGCTTAAGCATCATGCTTTTACATGACCAAAAATTGTATTAATATGAATTAAATTTGTGAAAGGTCACAAGCAAAAGATTATAAAATGAAGAACAAATTTTACCACATAGTTTTCATTCAGCAAAATCTGTTTAGGAAATATTATTCAATACTGTTGCTTTTTATCAATTATCATTTATTACATATTTAAGTGTTCCCAGCACTGTTCTAAAAGTACCTTAAATGTATTAACCCATTTAATATTTACAACATTCCTGTGAGAATGAGATTATTGTCCTTTTTTTAGAGATGAAAAGCCCCCAAGTGGTGCAAACAACTAATATTCTGATAACTGCAAGGCTGGAAGTTTGAGTTCATCTAGAAGTGCTCATAAGAAAGGCCTGGTGACTCACTTCTAATAAATCAACCACTGATAACCCTATGAAGCACGGTTCTACTATGACACACAAGGGAGCTGTCATGGATCAAAAGTGACCTGAAGGCAATTAGTTTGGTTCTTCTAGATGAAGTGAGGAAGCTAAATGTTAAACAGAATCCACCAATATCACAAAGATTGTCATAGGGCATGGTTCCACTTCATATTGGAAACCATAATGATACCTTCTAATCAGTACACGGATGAGAGGGATACGTTAAACCGTAACAGTATTATTCATTTGGTATAAGGCTGGGATCCATTATTTTAGTTGTTTGCAGAAAACAGGTATAATTATAACAATGAGTAATGTATTGGACTGACAACTGGAGAACTCTATACAGATGATTCACAAATACTTTTCTCTTTATTATTTGAGTATAAAAATGAAGATAGCTAAAAGTATTTTTTCTAAACAGAAATATTATTTTTCATCTTACTAATGATTGAGAATGGAACAGCTTGCTTATTTGTGCTTGAAAATTGAGCTACTGGGTTTTCTGTCTTTATAGCACCTTTGTCCCTCTTAAATATACCTCCCCAATCCTTTGATAAATCTCTCGCTTCCAGTCTG